TCCTCCTCCTCCTCCTGCTGCTCCTCCTTCAGCCGTTCTGGCTCAGGTGTTTCTGAGCTTGCAACAGCCAACTTCAGAGAGGCATTGCTGTTGCGGGCCATCGGCTCGGACTGCAGTCTTCGTGAGCTCCTGAGGGAGCAAAGTTCTTCATGTATCATGGCGGCCGTGCTTCGACTCCGCCATGGCGGGACGAGAACAAGCAGTGGCAGGGGTGGAAGTCTGGTCGTGGAGTCGACAAGGGCGGGGCAGGAGGCGGGCTCAAGTGCGTCACCTGTGGCTGCGCCAAGAACGACCTCAAGGCCAGGTTCTGCAAGCACTGCGGTGGCTCACTCTCCAAGGTCCACGCGGCGGAGGCGCCTCCCGTGGGCGGGGTGTGGGCGGCTGGCATCCCTCCTGGCATGTTTGCTGCTCCTGCTCCTGTTCGGGGTCAAGGGGCAGGTGAACCCCGCAAGGGGAACGGCAAGGGCGGCCAGGGTCACGATCCCGCTGGCGTCGGCGGACCTGGCAAAGGGGCTGGCGGCAAGCAGCCCTGGGCGGTGGGCGCCCAGCCACAGCTATCCTTGGAAGAGGCTCGCCAGCTCGCGGCTCTTTCGCGCAAGGCGGGTGACGCCGCCGGCGCAGAGCGCTACCATCAGCTGACCCAGCAGATCTACTCGAGGGACAACCCCACGGCGGTCCCCATCCACCAGAGGATCCAGAAGAGCTACGCTGAGGTATCCCGATTGGAAAGGCAGATTGTTGGTGAGCTTGACAAGCTGGAGAAGTGGCAGCGAGATGTGGAGGCCCAGCGTGTGTACCTTGAGTCTCTCCAGGAGGCGTTGGGGAAGGCAGACGACGCCTACCAGCAGGAGGACGTCAAAGAGCTCCAGGCTTCACGCAACGTTGAGAGCGGTGCGCCGCCAGCTTCGACGGCTCTCAAGCTCTCGGCATTGGTGGACGGCTCCATCAACATCGGCGACCTCATCGTGGTGGACGAGCTGGTGGCGGACGCTTCGCTCGAGACGTCCCTCGAGGAGGTCGACCTGGCGGAGATCAACCAGCGACGCCAGCAGCTGGGGGCCTCCATCAAGCAGGCCGCGTCGGAGCTCCTGGGGCCTCTGCTTGCACAGGCTGCCGAAGCACGCGCGGCGCACCAGCAGCACATGGCTCGGCTGGCGGCCAAGAAGAGGAAGACGGACACCGAGTCGGGCACTGGTTCGACCTCAGGAGGCGGTGGCGGAGCTCCTGCAGGTGGAGAAGGCCAGCCTGGAGGAGCTGCTAGTGCTGGCAGTGACGCGCCTTTTGCCCCGGCCGCTGAGGGTGAGGCTGGAGGCCCTCCCAAGGCGGACGACGTGCGTGCCCGAGTCGCGAGGGTGTTGTCCAATTCATATCCCCCCCCCGCGGTCGCTGGGGGGGAGCGCGGGAATCAGCCTGAGAACACAACACCCTCCGAGCAGCTGAGTAAGTTGCTCGATTATCTTGCCTCGCGTGTTTTTTGCCAGGCGTTCGCTCGCTCGACCATCGCTCGCTGCTGCCGCCGCATCCAGCGTCTCCCCTTTTTCGGTTCGGAGGGTGGACGCCCCCCGACTGCTGCGAGCCAGATGCCGAGTGAGCAAGCAGTGCTGCCAAGCCGTGACGGTCTGCCAGCATATTTTTCAGGGCCTGTGTTTTGCACCCCGCCCCGACCCCCCCCAGGAGCATTTTTCCCTTCACGCCCAGACCGTCAATGGGAACAGTTGGGGCTCGATGCGGGACTGGATCATGTCCTCGACCGCCCACGTCATTTTGATCCAGGAACACAAATTGGTTGCAGGGGACCCCGTCGATAAGGCTTCGCAGCGGTGCTCGGCTCGCGGTTTCAAAAGTATTTGGGAACCAGCTGCTCCTGGTAAAGGATATTCTGCCTCTGGAGGCGTCGCTATCCTGGCGAGGGACTTCCTAGGGCTACACCTTCCTCCTGAAGGCTCGCAGGTCTGGCCCCATCGCGTGGTGGCTGGAGTTGTTCATCCTCCAGGGGGTTATGACATCAAGGTTCTGTCTTGCTATTTGGTCACCTCCCAGGGGCTGTCGGACACCAATGTCAGCATCCTCGCAGCTATCGGCAGCTCCTTGCATGTGGCTGGCAGCGGAGGGCTCGTCGTAGGGGATTTCAACTTGCAGCCAGAGGACTTGGAAGGCCTCGGGGTTGGCGTCAAACTCCAGGGACAGGTTCTGGCCCCGTCCGACCCGACGTGCTGCATGGCGTCACCTCCTACGCGGTACGATTTTTCTGGGGCTCCTCGGGCCTGGCCAAGGCTGTGCGTCGTATCAGCGTCAACACTGGTGCCGACTTCTTCCCCCGCTGCCCCGTCGACCTGGTGTTTTACCCTCGGCTTGCTGATTTACAGGTGTTGGCATTTCGGAAGCCGTCACCTCTTCCTGTGCAGGCGCCGTTCGGTCCGCGCGCCGAGCCTCCGCCCTGGGACCACGTTCTGGAGATGGCGGACCGCGCCGTCCAATCTGTCGACAGAGGGGGCACCTCCAGGGGGCAAGAGCTTTTATCTAACCTCTATCAGTCCTGGGCTAACCTCTCGGAAGAAGAGTTGTGTTCCATTTTCGGCGTCGACTTGCCCTGTTACGGATCGAAGGGGAAGAACCCTCAGACTTTTTGGAAAAGCCTCCACGAGAAGGGCCAGCAGCCACGTTATCCCGAGCTGTGTTGCGTGCGTTGGCTCAGCGCACGGTTTTTGAGCTTGGGCAGGTGTCTGAGGGCTCCAGAAGAAACCTTGAGCGATGTCGGTCTTGGGCTCGTTCGGTCTTTGCTGGACGTTCCTGGGCACATCGCGGACAACTTGGGGGGCTCCTTCGATATTTTTTCGGCAATTCAAAATTTCCTAACAGCGAAGACTGATAGGTTTCTAGTGGTGTCAAAAGAGAGCAGCAGATGACTCCACAGGGGGGTCGGGGCGGGACCCGGGGCGGCTGCCGTCGAAGCCCAAATCGCCTGGGACATCCTCGCAAAATCGCTTTTGGCGCTGCTAGAACTCCATTCCCGGCGTACATTTTGAATGCCCGGAGCCAACTGTAGGCCACTTCGTGGTCTTCGAGTTCCCAGAACTCCATTCCCGGGCCACATTTTGAATGCCCGGAGCCAACTGTAGGCCACTTCGTGCTCTTCGATTTCCCAGAACACAATTCCCGGGCCACATTTTGAATGCCCAGAGCCAACTGTAGGCCACTTCGTGCTCTTCGAGTTCCCAGAACACCATTCCCGGGCCACATTTTGAATGCCCGGAGCGAACTGTAGGCCACTTCGTGCTCTTCGAGCTCCCAGAACTCCATTCCCGGGCCACATTTTGAACGCCCGGAGCCAACTGTAGGCCACTTTGCGGTCGCCGCAACTTGACCAGTTGTAAGTTGGGTTGCGCACGATTTAACAAACATACAGTTGCGATACATATATCTCAACTTGGAGTCCACATCCTAAATGTGGCACAATATGCACACGAACATATAATCCCGGAGCTAAGTGTGAGCCTGGTTATAAGTGTATGTTAACTGGTTCGTAACTAGATCGTAACTAGATCGTAACTAGATCGTAACTAGTTCGTAACTGTTCAATCGCCCATCCGAGTTTTCAAGGGTGCGCAACCCAACTCACAAGAGTCCCCTTCAATCCTCCT